ATCAGTGACAATTCACACCTCTACATAAAAGCATGCTACACAAAGATTCATCAAAAGTTGAAATTGGTTTTACATTTTTGCATCCATCTGCTTAGCCAACTTTAGTGACACATGCAAAGTTTGATTTTTTTTTTTTACATTTTTAGAAAGGGTGAATGACTGTGAAATGATCCCATGGCTCTGTGATACTTTGTTCACTAAGCATGTCGTCTAAAGTTTAGTGAGCACATACTACATGTTAAACACATGCAGCATGTTTGGTTGTCCAATCAGAACACAGAATCCCACTACATGTTTCTCGTCTTTACCTCAGGTGCTCCTCAACTTGAGCAGTATAAGCCAAGTGGAGAGGTTGGTTATTTTGTGTGTTTGCCTTATATGGATGAGCTTTAGCATTTTAACACCACATGTAAGATGTTTTCATCAATTAAAGGCTGCTTTATAGTTATAACTATAAACTCTATGTACATGTAGACTCTACATTAAGCCTACCATGCCAATGTGAACATTTTTAGTTGTGCACCAAAAACACTAGTTGGCTGTGGGATTTCCATGCCACTGTGTTGAGTTTATTTGTGTACCTTAAACAATGGCGACTTAAATCAAAACACTCCCTCCTCTCTTGCCTCAATCTGTCTCTTCTGTTTTCCTTGTTCCCTTCTTTTTCCCCGGCCGCCCGTGAAACGACAGACATGGTCATGGGAGGTGCATGTCAGGCTACAGTGTAGGGTACAAGGCTAATCCTTACCTACATTGTACCCATGGTGTCGATTTGATGCTGTAGTATATAGAAATCAGGCTTTAGTCTTTATGTTGATAATTGGGGGAGTTTTTCTTTGGTTAGAGACTTTTAAGCTGATCAGTCTCAGACAATATGTGTATTTAGCAAACGTGAGGCTCAGTGTAATGTGCAAAGACATACACAAAGGATTTAAACAAGTTCTTTATTTTATTTTCTAAGGTGTTTGACTGCCTCTGGATATTGATTTACCAGACTTCCCTTTCGGAATATGTGTCTATTAAACGTTCAATTAAACTTAGCTTGTCTTTAACTTAAAGGTCCAGTGTGTAACACTTAGGAGGAACTATTGTCAGAAATGAAGTATAATATTCATAGGTATGTTTTTATTACCGTAAAATAAGAATCGTAATTTCATTACCTTAGAATGAGATGTTTTTATCTACAGAGAGACCTGGTCTGCTATGTATCTACAGGAGCCCTGAACAGACAAACCAAACACTGGCTCTAGATAGTGCCTTTTGTGTTTTTTGTGACAATGCTTTGACCTAGACGCTTGGAAGGCAAGCGGTATTCAGTTGGTTGCAGTCTGCAACTTCACCACTAGATGTCACTAAATCCTACACTGGTCCTTTAAACTGAATGAATAATATCTTAGTCCTCCAATGACATGCTCACTCTCACTGACTCTCACTTTTCAACATGTGATATTAGACTTGTGTATTGTGGTTGTGTATCTGTGTTTTTATAAACCCTTACATGAATGCTCCTCTCCTGTTAGGATCAAAGGCGTCAGTCCCAAAGTGATGAAGGTAATCCAGATGTTGAGGCTGAGGAAGATCTTCAGTGGGGCCTTCGTCAGAATCAACAAGACCTCTGTAGCCATGATGAAGATGGTGGAGCCCTATGTGGCCTGGGGGTGAGTAACAGGGGACTGTTATATTTGAAAAATTCAAGCATTGGGCGCCCGGTTAGCTCAGTTGGTAGAGCTGGCGACCCATGTATGGAGTTGCTGCAGCGGCGCAGGTTCGGATCCGACCTGCGGCCCTTTGCTGCGTGTCATCCCCACTCTCTCCGCCCCCCTTTCCTGTCTATCTTCGCCCGTCACTATACAATAAAGGCTATAAAAGGCCAAAAAAAAAAAGTCAAGCATGGGTCAATTTAGTTGTTTTTGTTTGTTTGTTTTTTGCATATTATAAATACATGGTAATGTTCCCGACAGATTTCCCAACTTGAAGTCTGTTCGTGAGCTGATTCTGAAGAGAGGCCAGACCAGGGTAGGCAGGAGGAGAGTTCCTCTCACAGACAACACCTTCATTGAGCAGCACATGGGTAAGTTTGTTCCACCATTTGATTTAGCCACCACAGAATGATAGCAGGGCTCACCACTATCATCATGTTAGGCATATCAAGTTAATGAACCTGTACTTGTTGGTTGCAATGTCATATGAGTGCTATCAGCTGAAGAACAAAACAAAACTTGAAGCCCAGTGATTGGATGTTTATTGCCAAAACACACCTTAAGGGGTCATATGTTGCGTAAGTCATGTTTTTTTAACGTTGAGAACCGGATCCAAATTGTCCAATCCATTAGAACTGTATGCCTCCGAGCTGATCAATTATTTTTATTGATGCCAGCATGTTTTGCTGACTGTTGCGCATTGCCTAACTGTGGTGTCAAACTCATGTATCTACACTGCTGTAAACAACAAGGAGGAGTCATGGTAGAGAGGAACAAACAGTGAAGCGTGGCTTCATTTCATGAAGAAAGACGACAGCAGCGCTAGTTGTAATGTCTCTAGAATAATCATTTCAAGTTAGGGTGGAAACACCAGCAATTTGGTGAAAAATCTTTCTATGCAACATGGGCTTGAATTCCAGGAATGCCGTATATTCGGCACAATATGCATGCAAGCCACTGCTTCCCAACTAGCAGCACGTCCCTCACGCAGGCAGGCTTAGCAGATTTTTTTCTTTGACAAAGATCTAAATGAAAACGCATGCTGTATAAACATACTCTAATTTTTTCCATTTTAAACAATGACACAGGCCTGTGCAGAACTATTTTTTGCCCACATGGGAAATTGATCCAGAATGAATCAATTTTGAATCTAACGTAGTTTTTACGCTTTTGTACAGAAGTCTGTCACTGCGAGTCACATAACGTTTTCTATGGGGAAAATGAATTGGACTTTTACTTCCAGAAGTAGGGGTTCCCAAAATAGCTCCTTATGTAAATTGATTTTTTTCTTTCTTTTGTGTATTTAAACTTGCACACCAAAACAAAACTCCCAAAACCCTGCACTTTACTGAGTGAGCACACTGAAAGCTGAATGTACAATGTTTTGCCTCCGTGTTCACTAATCAGAGGGGTTAGGTTGTAAACGCGAGTGGGCTGTTTGTCTATTCATGGTACTCAAACATGATTTCAGTTTTTGTTGAAGTTCCATCAACTTCAAAAGTCCCACTCTGTGTGGCTTTAAATAACACTTAAACATGTAAATTGACAGCCTCTTTGTCATACTTTATTCCTCCCTTTCTGCTGTTTACACACTGCTACCATCCTGTCATCCACAGGCTATTAATGCCATCCTCCTCACTGTTGTCTCTCAGGTAAACATGGCATCATCTGTTTGGAGGACCTGATTCACGAGATCTATTCAGTTGGTAAGGGCTTCCGAGCTGCCAACAACTTCCTGTTGCCTTTCAAGCTGTCGGTGGCTCGTCACGCTGCTAGGGACAAGGCCGGGCTCCTAAAGGACCTGGGAAAGCCTGGATTCCGTGGTACAGACATTAACTCTATCATCAGACAGCTGAACTGAGGACAAAAACATGCAAGACGGACACTCAGCAGCAGCTTCAAGGATGCTTTAGTGCAACTGCCAACGACAAGATATTTAAATTTATTTTTTGTTTCTTTGGCAGAGAAGCCAATGGGTTCCACCTAGAGTCATACTTTAATATACATTTACCTGTACACCCATTCCCTGGTTACACTTACAGTACACTGGGAGACATAAGAAGGACCTGAAGTGGGGTCTCTTGCTTATCCATGTTTTTGTTTTGCACTCATGTTTGAAAAATGAAATCATGTAGTGCCCCTAACCACAGACTGATGGATGCAGTTGTGCTCCTTGGTGAAAATGTAACAATGTGTAATAATAACTTGAGAAATGTAAAACATTGTCAGTTAAATGGTGTTTAGTTGCTACACATGACATTCCTCCATTTGTCAGAGGAATGGATCAATACTTGCTACATAGGCAAGGACAGTAAATGATTAAGTAGGATGGGCAGGGCAGCACACCTACAGTAATCTCATTTACCGCATTTAGTAGTTTTCAGTGTGTAAAGTCTGAAAAATCTGTTTAAAATCTTGATTAATTCATTGATTTATGATTCATTGTCAATACACTTGGTTTTTACAATAAAAAAAAAATGATTCATTACTTTTGCAATGGTAACTAAGATGTTTGGTACAAATGAGAGCCTGTCTGCTGTCAAAATGACTTGGTGCTATCACTGTGTAGATGCTGTTCCACAAGAAACACAGGCAACTTTGGAGTTGGTCATTTTATGAGGACAGCTGCAAGTAGTTAAAGGGCCAGTGTGTGGGATTTATGCTGCATTCACATGGACTCAGGCAACCCAGATATCATGTTAGTGGATGAGAGCAGGATGGTAAAATTGGACCTTTTAAATGGTTTAAATTACACTGCTAGCATTTGCCTGATCACACAGAACTGTGAAGTGGGACTTTATGTCCGTGGTAAAGCAACTTTAGATGTGGTGTTCCTAAATGCATATCTGGCACGTTGGTAGGCTAAATGATAAAACCAGTGAGTAAATAATGTTTGCACAGCCTCACTCTCCCCCCCGTGGTGTTCCACTAGTGTCACTATTAATTCAATGAGACATGAGTCACCAGCCGGAGGAGGGGACAGAGATGTGGTAACCTATGCAGCTGCGCTTTCACGAATGCGCACTGGGAGAAATGGAGGACGGCGTCGGGAACGCTTCATGAATGTCACTGATGTGTTCCCTAAACTCGATGTGAATATGTGTCACTGGCCAGCATGGATGCAATCGAGGACGTTGCTGACAAAATGCACTCACGTTTGCTTTCGCCGTTGAAAAGAACAGGTAAGAAACCGTGCGTGTGCGTTACTATGCTTGGTGAGTGAGGCATACTGTCATCACATCTATAGATTCAATCAGCGGTCATTGCCATGGTAATTAATTACCATGACGACGATTTTCCCAGCCTCCAGCACAGCGGCGGCTGCAGGCTGGCGTCACGGTGAACGTTGGACCACGTCCTTTCCTCTCGATGTCATCCTGTTTCACAGCAACACAAAACATTGCGGAAATCATTTAGACAGTTACACAGCTGTTACACAGCTGTTACGCCTTTGTGTCACCTTCAAATTCTTTAGAATTTAATTCCGGTTAATTTTGTTCTAAATGGAAAACTTGTGCTCTAAAATTAATACAAATTAAAGATATCGCAGAGCACCAGAGCACGTGTTGTGTTGCCTTCATAAATATCGGAAAGTTCGTAATCGTAAGGGTTTGGAAAATGCAACGGATGAGGGCAGAAAATATGTCGCGTTGAAGCAGTGTCAAATAATGGTAAAACATATGCAGTGATGACAGTGGCAGTACTGTATAGTGGCTTGCGTGTTTGATGTGAATCCTCTCCTTTCTATCTCACATAATGACAGGGTTTGAACAAACCCACGACCACTAACAACCTTGATTACAGGGACTATGTACGCACTTAAAACCAAAACGAAGTGATCAACGATATACGTCGATGATCTGAAAGCACAACATTTGTCTTGTGTGATTTCTTATTTGCGAGGAGCACGTGAACGCAGCAGCACCCCAGAGTCAAGGAGAATGGGCGGTCTGTCAGCGCCTGACCGCCCGAACAGATGCTAGTGAAGAGGTGTACGGTGGCTTCAGTATTCTGGCAGCGCGTCAAAGGTAAGCCCGTTTAGCTAATGACTAAATTTAAACACGATATATGTGAAAGGGCTTTTTGAACGTCGTCGTCAGTGAGGGCTCGGGGGTTGCCGGGTATTTCACGTTGGTGCACGCGGTACAGAAGAAAGTTTGGCTCATTGGGCAACAGGACCATGTGGGCGCACAGTGAAATATCGGGCAGGTCTGTGCGCTGCTTCTTTCTGGTTGCCGTCTCTTTAGTTTAGGTAGTACATAGTGGAGCGATATTGGTAACAGAACAGCTTGGCAATGTCTCGCACTGTTGCGTTTACCGCAGCAAGCCGTTAACAAACATTAGCCAGACGGTTAGCTGAGATGAATGACTTGTCGGAGCGTGTGGGGACTGATTAGCCAAATCCACAGCACGTCTGTCTGTGTTAACATTGCAGTGTTGCAATAAGTAGCGTTAGCTTGTGACTTAACTTGTGTTCGGGTTGTCCCCTGACCCTTAGGGACAGTACGGTAACCAGTTAGTTATTCACCAGTGTATCGTTACCCTGCCCGTGTAAAGCCAATATTGACCTCTTGGTTTGGAGAAACCTGTTTAATCTCGCTAGAGGTGCTGCATTTAAGGTCTCAATAAGTCTGACAGACTGAGATGATTAATAAAAATGTATCTGAGATAATAATTAAGTAATAACTAGGGCTGTGTATTGGCAGGAATTTGAAGATACAATATGCATCATGTGTAGAATTACGATTCAATATATTGTGATATATTGCAATTTTTAAAAATCCAACCACCATATGCATAAAATATGAGTAAAAACAGTACATGGGGCACCCTGGTTGAGCCTGCGGGCCATGTACTAAGGCTGAAGTCCTCACCCCAGCAGTCCAGGTTTGATTCCAACCTTTGGCCTTTTTCTGCATGTCGTCCCCTCTCTCTCTTCCCCCTTTCCTTTCTATCAAGTTTAAAAAAAATAGGGATAAAAAGCTTAAATTTTCTTCATGCAACCAGAACAATGGGTTCTGCATTTGTATTTATCTATGTAGCGGTTGGGGATTTAAACACAAATATATCGATAGTGTTTTTGGGAATCAATACAATATCACAAAATAAAATATATACAATACTTTGGGACATTTTCTCACAACCATAGTAATAACTGTAAATGTAAACTATAAACTCTTCTCTCGCTTTAAAAGTGTATGAAATGAATACAGTCAGTATCAGCGCCAGAAACAAACCAGTATTTCAGGTTGCTGCATTACAGTAAGCACCATTAGTCATATCAAAATATGGCGGTTTGGGATACAGTGGGACGATAGAAATTTTGGCTACACTGTTTAAGGTGAGTCTCTTTTTTATCTGTCTAGTCTATCTATATAGTATTGCAGGTAATGTTGTAAATCAGTGACCAAAACTGCTTTATGACAATATAGACCTTTTTCACAGCAGCCTTTTTGACATGAAGAAAAAGTATTTCTGCCATTTGGTGGCTGCTTGCTCTTTAACAAAAATCACTTGAAAACTGATACTGTCACTATATTCATTGTTTTGGTGAGGTAGAACACCAGAACTGCCCCACTCTAAAGACTGTATTGGCCTTGGTACAATCACATTTCCCTGGCGCACACAGTAAGGTCTTTTAGACAGAGTTTGTAATGTCTCAAACAATCCTGTTCTGTGGTCCGTCATTCAACTCTGACATTGACACATTTTTACCATTCTTGAATTAACACTGTAGTTTATATGAAGAATCTTATTTCAGGGTGCACTGACGTTTTTGCATCTTATAGATTTGAGGATAGATATGAATAAAAGGCAGTTAATGTTGCACTCATTTTGGTTGAGCAGATTTACTGACACTGGTACACACAGTGTTGCACCTTCCCAGAGGTTACTCTGAAGTGAATTTTGTCTGATCATCTAGTGACGGCCAAACTGACCTCCAGTTATCTGCGATGAGGAACTATCACGCCGTCTGCAGGCTAATGATTACACACGAGCTTCAGCCAAATGCCATTCTCATTCTGTATTATCTGGTGTTGCGTTAACAATTGTCAACAAAGAACTAACACAGTGTTTATGTCACGTTTTGTTCAGTATTATCAGCCTTCAATGCAACAGCCCATTGCATTTCTTGATTCACAGCAGTCTTCTTTATTTATGATAGCGCATTCATCAGTGGTGGTGATGTTGTATTTCACTTGTCAGTGGTTCTTTATCTTTGCCGATAATGAAAACAAATTGTGATGCCAGTTCTTCTGCCTCTTGTCCCACAGTCGGTGGTGTTGTAGGTATTTCACAGAGCAGGCCAGGGTTCAGCTGAAAGTTTAATGATTACTCAAATTATTGGCCTTTTGGGTCACTAGACACGAGTAGAGCTGGGGCCCATGGGTAAGCAAATTCCAAAGATGATGACCGTAAACCAGCTGTGCCTGTGAGTAAGCATGCAGAGTGCATACACGTGTATTATATGTAGTTGGTAATATGCTTGGGGCTCAACCCACAGGATCTGTTTCATTCTGACTACTCAGGTTTTTTAAAAACCAACATATTCTCTAAATCAAAGTGGTATTGTAGAGAATGTTTACAATCTACTAGGTGTCACATCCATTGCGTAGAAGGTGGTCCCGGGTGGGGATAATACAGTCCTTGTTATAGTTTCTCTTGTAAAACTGAAAAATACTGTTTGAATAATCTCACCTTGAAGCGCCCGGATAGCTCACCTGGTAGAGCTGACGGTCCGTGTACAAAGGCTGAGTCCTGGCTCGCGGCCCTAGCTTTGAATATGACCTGTGGGCCTTTGCTGCGTGTCGTCATCACTCTCTGTCCCCCTTTCCTGTCTATCTTCAGCTGTTACTATCGATTTAAAGGCAATAAAAGTGCAATAATTTTCAGGGCAGCTATTATATTATGTATTATTCTAATAATAATAACCAATAGATTATCAGATGATTATGATTTATTTGGAGTTCTTATGCAAAATGTTTGAAAGGCTTTATGTTGTTTTCTATTATTCTAGTATTGTCTCTTGACTCATGGTGGGAAAATGAGAATTTGAAGAGTCAGAACTGTTTTAGTTTTTGGTGTTTACAATAGTGATGTCATATTTGGTTAGGACAGAGCTCTGGAATATTAAAGAATGTTAAGGAGGATCTATTGGCAGAAATAGAATATAATATTCAAAACTATGTTTCCATTAGTGGTTAATCACCTAAAAATAATCTGTGGAAGCACGTCGCTTTCCATGGAGTCCAGCGTGTTGAATGGACAAACCAAACACTGGCTGTACATGGGGACTTTTGGGAGTTTCGCGGCCACAGTAGTTTTCCTACACACTTCACAGCCTCTTCTCATTCCCAGCTTGCCAAATACAGACGGGAGTGGTGTTCCGTTAGTTGCAGTCTGCAACTCCATCGCTACATGCTACTAAATCCTACACACTGATCCTTTTAAATCATCCATCTTTGCTCACTACATCATAGCCTTGCTTACCCTCAGGTGTGCTACAAACGACATCATCAACTTCTTTTTAAAATACAGAAAAGTTTGAAACTATCGGTATCGGCCATGAGAAGCAAGTAATAATTGGTTATCATATGAAAAAAGCAACAAGCCCATTCCACAGTCAAAAGCAAAATTCGACAAACAACGCAAAGGTGACATGTCTGCTTTATAAGAAATGTATTTAATCGCTAATGTGATAAACTAAGAGGGTGAACATGATAAACATTATACCTGCTAAACATCAGTATGTTAGCATTGTGAGCTTGTTAGCATGCATTAGCTTTTACCTCAGAAGTTCCAAGGTGCCAAAGTACCTCAGAAATATGCTAACTCGACTGTAGACTGTAGACTTAAATAGGCCATATCCAGAGAAGTGGAAATGAAATGTATGAACAGCATTTGGGATGGAGACATTGCACCATGTTTTATCAAAGTGACCTTGTGAAATAAGATGAAACTGCTGTTTTGATTATAAAAAGGCACACACTGATAAAGAATGAGACTGATTATCTTCCTGTCAAGGATAATAAGAAGACATCTGGTGGTATTTCTCTGTTTTGCCCCTTTTAGTCCCTGTTAATATACTGTTTGAGTGCCCAGTGTTTGGTCTGGATGTCTGATGAGGAGAATGAAAATGTGCGGTTTGCTTTGAACTACCTTGATAGGACTGTATGAAGCACTGCTCTCATTCATCAGTTTGTCCTGTGCAGCTGCAACCCTTCCCATGCTCTACCTGCTCTCTCATCATCAAACAGTAGGTCTCCTGTTTTCCACCATTTACACACAAGACGTGTGTGGAGATGAAAGCACTAATGCCACCAGCTCAACTCTGTCTACCTCATGTTATGTCTAATCATTGTTCCTGTGTTGCCAGGCAACCATGGCCTCCTGACCTCCTTGTGTGATTTGTGTTTTGTGACGCTCATGACACCACCACCCAACACTAGCCCTTATATATTAATTGATTATTTTCATAATCAATTAATATATCATCCATGTTCTTGATTAATTGATTAGTTGTTAAATGTTGATCTGAGTTTACCAAGGCCCAAGGTTATGTCCTCAAATTTCTTGTTTTGTCCACAACCCAAAGATATTCAGTTTACTATCATAGAGGACTAAAGAAAGCAGACAATATTCACATTTGAGAAGCTGAAATGAAGCAGAGAGCAGAGAATTGGGATATTTTTTCTCAAAAATGACTGAAAACAGCCAAAATACAAGCAGTACAGTACATGGACTTGTGGTGGAAAAGCACATCTCTAGTGAAACAGGCCAACTGGTGCAGAAGCAAATTGCTTGCTGTGAGCCATGTTCCTTTGTATTGAACATTCAGTATTGTCTATTGCAGTAAGCCATTAAGTGTAAACTATTCAGATTGAAGTAGCCTGTGGGGTTACTGTTGAGTATCCTGTCAGAGGCAACATGAAGTGAGTGCTCCGAGGCCCACACAGCATTATAACAGATAGCCAAGGTGAATACATTGTGTCTCTCTAAATATCTACAGTTCAGTGTCCTATTCCCATAGCAAGTCATGTCGTGGGAATAGCCTGTATTTTAGGAGACTGTTGGCTTGGCAAGGCTGCTATTAGAATGTCTGTGCTGTAAAGGTCAGTTGCTCTGAGGTCTCTGTGAGAAAGGGCAGTCCACCCTTTCACCCTTCCTGAAATTAAACTCATTTCTTTCAGACATTCAGACCGCTCTCTCAGCTTTGTATGTCAGGATTTGAATTAATGTTTTAAGGGACGAAAGGTTTGAAAACAGTACTGAACAACCCAAACCAGTCTAGGTAGAAACTGTCAGCCAATCATGTGTTTTTAAGACCAGGCAGAGATGACAGTTATCTCTGATTTCAATGTGAATGATTTTCTAAAGAGCTTTACTGTTGTTTTAGGTTGGACTGTTTATTTCTTAATGTTTACAGTTCATTCACACATTACCAGCATTCCATTTGTTGAAAGTGGTGCTACATTACTCTGTATACATTGTGCAGAGGTTTGTGTTTTACCCAATAGATTACCTTGGCTTTGATTTAAAATCTTAAATAGTGGTGTCCATTTGAGATAGGTGAACTTTGTAGTTCTTGTTTTGGCTTTAAATTAAGTATTACTCAGATACTTTTGATCAACTTTGAAAATATTTTTGTATCTTAATTCTGCTGCTGCACCTTAACTGCACATGCACAAGTCAGTTTGGCATTTTAAGTAGCTTTACCTTACTAATTTTCCACCTACCACACACTGTGCAGATGCTGGGCTTCTGTTTTAAGCACTGGAGGGATTTTAATCCAATGCCCTTTGTAACTTGTCAGGTTTTAATGCATTTTTTCCACATCAGTGCTGCCCATTTTAGTATGGCATCTTAACAGTAGGGGTTTTATTGTCGCTGCGCAGCAGTGCAACAAAAGGCTGTCTCCAATCCTGTAACTCAACAACAGGAAAGCTTTCTGTGAAACAGCAAACCAAGATGCCCACTATGCATATTCCAGACAGGGCACTGCAGCAAATATTAAGTTATTTTAAATATTCTTCTTAGTGTGCCTTGAACTGTGGTGCATTGATTCTGATACTAATTTATAGTAGCAATGGATTTTTATAATAAATGAGGTTGCATTCTGGTTACAGACTTCAATATTACTGTAGTTAAAGAGCTACATTGTATCTGTTGCCACATCCACGTGATGGGTGCTTTTGAATTACACTGGCTGTTCCTTCTCTTCCCAACCAGTCATACTCAGGTAGATTAGACATAATAAGCCATAATGATAAGAGTGGGATTTCATTGGGTCATATGTCTTGGCCAGGGCGTGATCAAACCAGCATGAGTATCACACAGACAGGCCTGTCAGTACAGAACACTACTGATGTTTGATGAACACACATACAGGTATAATCTCACACACTCACCGGCTAACACATGCAAATCCTTGCTGAGCTGTTCTTTGGTTACCACAGAGACAAAGTTTTCTGACCCATAGAAGTTGCTAGAATGGCAACAGCCAAGCACTCAGTGATACTGCACAGATCTTTTACCTCTTGTCATTTGAAACAGTTGCCCTTCACTGCCATTTACAGCTGCCAGCTGTGAAGATTGCTAGTGAAGTGCCTCTCTGAAGAACAGCTATATGTGTGAAAGTAGTGCTTTCCATATTCGAGTACTCGCATTAAATTGTTACACAGTACCTCAGCATGTTACAGATGTAACATAACAGTCTGGACCAAAATGAACATCCAAGTGAAAAACCTGTAGAGATTCACTGCAATGGTAGCCTATACACTGCTCAACAAAGGCCATCGGCTTGCAGAAGCCTTCTCCTTCCACAAAGCGTAAAAGGAGTATACCTCCAGTCACCGTTTTCGTGATGAGCTGGCTAACCTTCTCTGCCCTGGTGGCATCACAGCGGTGTATGCTAATACTGCTAGCAAATAAGGTGATTGCTTACAGATTGTTATCTGTCTCTGCTGTAGGGCTGCCCCCGACTAGAGATTTTCCTAGTCAACTTGTAGTCGCTAGTTAAAGCCAATAATCGACTAGTAGTCGCACATTTATGAGAATATATTCAAATTAAATAAATTAATTATAAATTAAAAAGTTAGTAGGTTGCAATATGAATTTGATTATGACGGATGAAGTCCAAGACTACTCTCAACGAACGAACCTCAACGGTTTGGGAGCAGCCCTACTCCACTGTTTTCTCTTTGTGCTTAATGCGCAAGTGGTTAAACATCAAACTAGTTCTTTCATGTTAGATACATAGCACTGCACTTTCATCTTGTTTATTTTGTCAAAATATTTTCAAATATCACTTCTATACCCGATCGCCATTCTGCCTGTGACGTTAGATCAAGTGATGTGACTGAAAATGTTGAACATTATTGTCGGCTGCGCAGATGTCTCATTATTTCTATGTAGGAAAATGCAAGTACTTTATATGTCGAGAAAATACTGCTGTCCAAATCAAGTACTCATGCCCATACATAGTTTCTTACCAGATTTACCAAAATCCCCTGTAGCAATTCTAGCAAGTCACCTTCTTAAGTACAGAAATGTTTCACTAGAAATGTATCAAATATGTTCCAGTATGAACATATCTCAGCCAGTATTGGCTAGCCTGAGAAAATCATTTGGGATTTAAATATTATCTAATTCATAACTCTTAATATCTGTATCTGGCTTCAAAAGGCCATTGGTCAGACTATAGCGACTTTACTTCAGTTCAAGCTCAGCCTCAGCTGTTAACTGTAACTAATGCAATTCACAATGTGTCCTAATCCAAATGCTTTGATAGTGCGTAGGTGTTTCTTTATTCCAACCCCTGTAAGCACACATACTCTGTTTTGTGCTCACACACAGCTAATCTCTGATCGCATGACTTTACCCACCTAATGTTTTTCCATCATTTCTTTTTCTTTTCCAATTATCTTTTGCTGCACAACGCTCTCCTCTTCTCATTCCCTTTGCCCGCCTGTCCTTTTTAACCTCATTTCACTCTCACCTCACCTCTCTGCAGTCAGCTGCCCCTTTGCTCTTCACCGTCATAAGTGGAGCAGGAGACTGCAGCACAGCACAGCACACTGTGAAAGAGGAGGTGGTCTTTTGTGTAGTGCAATATGAGAGGTCTTTTTAGATGAGCACAGCAAGAAACTAAAAACTTGTACTCAAAAGAAAAATATGCCCCCTAAAGTGCAAGCTGTAAAACAACACACTTAAGTATCTCTTAAAAATATAACAAGGGGTTGGGTTTTGTTTGGCTAAAATTATCTGTGCCCAAAAGAAAAGAAACAGCAGTGTTTGGAGAACATTACCCAGGTATGAAATCATTTGTAACAATATTGTGATGGGTCCTTTTTCTCATGCATTTCTTGCCTGACTTATTTTGCTCAGTTTCTCTTCTGTCTCCACAGTGATGGTGATTGGAGGTTGTGACAAAGATACTCTACTACAGTGAGCCTTAAGACTGAGTGGCCTGTGTGTGTGTGTGTGTGTGTGTGTGCGCCAGCCAGCAGCAGCTTGATTTCAGTAGGTACAGTAAGTCCTTTGCTGTTCTTCTTGTAGCTTTTTTTGTCATATTCAAACCCGGACTCAATGTATGACTCTGTTGCTGGTCAACTTTGCATTTATTAATTATAAGGTTGTTTTGTCCAGCTGCAGGTCAGACATAAACATAATGCAGTCCTATTTGTGACTCTTAGAAGTAGAATGGGTAAAGTGTGTGTTTTTCGTGAGTATGTGTGTGTTTGTGAGTGTGCTGATGTTAAGCTTCTATTTCACTGCCAGAATATTTAATTTTACAAATGATACATTTTATTTGTTTTTGTTTTTTTTATCGCTCTAGTGTATTAGACTTAATTTTGAAGTTTTTTAATAGATGATCAGTGGAGCATTTTTTTGTATTTGGGGCTATGGGGTCATTCTGCCCTGATACACATCCTATCCTCACACTTCTATCACCCCTTGAGTGTGTACTTATCTAGAAAATGTTGTTTACTATACAAGACAAATTCCCAGGTGACTTTGTTACAGCAGCGTCAAAACCAGACTTGTTTCAGATTAGATAGAAGTGTGACTTTGCTTCTCTAGTACAAAATATATTTCCTCACTTTCATGCAGCCATTCTGTAACACATACTGACAGTTTCTTATTGCCCTCTCCCTCTTCAGCACCTCTGTCTCTCTCCATCTCATCTCTAATGCAATTCCTGTTCTTTTCTATCTGACGTCCTCCTCAACCTTGATTTATTTTATATTACGAAAATACATTTCAACATACACCAACACCTGGATACCACCTAGTGTGATTAGGAGTGCATGGAAGCTATCTGGCAAGTAAGCAGAGAAGATGAAATTAAAAGTTACATGTAATAGAGATTGTTTAAATAGTCCAGCTTTAGCCATTACAATTGGTGATAGTACAAATACAAACTTGACCAAACCTACTGAAAAAAAGATAATCAATAATTCTAGAATTGCTTATAAAATTGCTTATATTATTATTATAATTGCTTAATAGGGGAGTAACAACATTTAGATAAACTTGAGTATCGCAATATTTTGTTTTGATACATTCTCAAAAATAATGTATCAATTTTTGTGTTTAACCCCCTCAGCCACGAGATAGCAGTGTTGTTAGCGTAAACTGAGGGCCATGATGTTGGATGTTACAGGGACTGTAATACAATGGAGATCCCACTGTGCTGGCTGGAAAACATAAAGCAATAAATAATATATTGAATCGTAACCCCTATATCGCACCGGCAGATTCTTGCCAATATACAGCATTACTATTAACTAATAGAGGTTTAAAATTAGTTAATCTATAAATCAGAATAGAAGAACGTGGTGGGTGGTGTTGATGAAGGTGTACTTGAGCTCATCTGATAGGGCTGTGGGGGTACATAATACAAAAGCAGTTTGGAAACCATTAGATTGTGTATGTATTTGTGTGTGTGTGTGTGTGTGTAAAAACATTTTGAATTAAGTAGTTGAGGTTCTCTGATTAGAATTAATTGTATAATTCGAACATTACAAAAAACACAGTTTATAGACAACCTCATGCAGATCTTTGCTTAAACTTTAAACTGTGTAAATGTATCCATAACACCTGTTATGACTCTGTCCTCTTTTAGCTGTCCTTAGACTTGGTAAAATGTAGCTCTTACTATAGTAATTAAATTCCATACTGTAATGACCCACAATTATTAGTTAGTGATACACTAACTAATAATTGTGGGTCATCATCCACCATCCACCACGTAACGTAGGTGTGATTCTGCTGTTGCAAATTACAGCTGGCAGTGATGCATTTAATACAGTGCTCTTGAAATAGGTTTTATTGCTGCTTTCATAATAATAACACCTGTATTCATATAAAGTTCTGGTCAAGATAAAAACACATTACTCTTGCTCTAGTGTTTTTAAACTTACAGTTTATTACAAAATGCATGTTGACTTTAATGAAATTCTCTCCTTGTTTTCCTTGACGCAGCTCTCAGTGAGTCTCTCTATGGGTGAAGCACTTTCTTCAACGTTGTAATCAGCCCCAGAGGCTGTGCTTCCAACAGCCTTTACTCCTCCCCACATCCCGCGCCATCATGGGGGAGGTAGTCCAAATGCACTTCACCACGGTGGACTACGTCATCTTTGCCTTGCTGTTGGTAGCCTCAGCTGGCATCGGCCTCTTCTACGCCTTCTCCGGTGGGCGCCAGCGCACAACGCAGGTAGGCTTTGGTGTTTAAGTAAAGATTTCTTCCCTTGCTTTCATTTTACACCCTTTAAGTCTACAGGGTCAATTTCAAGGTTTCATGGGTCACAAAATTTCTGATATAGGAGTTCCTGATGGCTGACCGCTCCATGAGCTGCCTGCCAGTGTCTCTGTCCCTGCTGGCTACTTTCCAGTCGGCGGTGGCCATCCTGGGAGCTCCGTCTGAGGTGTACACCTTTGGGACTCAGTACTGGTTCCTGGGCTGCTCCTACTTCTTGGGCCTGCTCATCCCAGCTCACATTTTCATACCAGTCTTCTACAGATTGCGGTTGTCAAGCGCCTATGAGGTACAAACTGCATGCACACACAGTATCACATGGCTGTATCACTATGGTGCACTTTAGACCTGTTAATGTATTTTCTTAAACATTCCTTAATTATAATGTCCTCTGTCCTCTGTCTCTTTTTCTGTTTTACACTCTGTCAACACTTTTGTCCTGCTTCTCCCAGCTTTGTCTTTCTCAAGTATGATCTCAGAGCTTCAGATTCTTATCTGTCCTCTTTTCTGCTTATCCTTGACGTGTTAACGTAAAGAAATGTTCTCGTCTCCAGACTGGACATCTTTTAAAGGGTCTTTATCTAGTTTCTCTCTTTAAACTGATGAGTCATTTTCCAGAGAACAGTACTGCAGCAGTGTCCTGTGAACAAAGACTGAGTTGATTTGATGTGGCTCTAAATTGATCCTGAGAATTAACATACTACCTATCACAGACTGACTCTGAGATGATATTTTAATCAGCCTTTTGATTTTGTTTATTCTTTTTTTTTTCTTTTGACATTCTCTCCTCTCAACAGTATCTGGAGCTGCGCTTTAACAAGACGGTTCGCATATGTGGGACTGTGACCTTCATCTTTCAGATGGTATCTTTGTCTTCGTCATACTATATTTATACATTAGTTTTCTGTATTGCAAGTTATCAACTATAGCCACTGGAGAGATAGTAAGACATTCAAAAAGAAAGGCAATCATCTTCTAAGCTGCAATAACAGTCTTATGCATCTCTACCTCTATCAGCTTGGTGTTCATCCTCTTAGTTTGTTTCAGCTCAAGCCATCAGCAGTTATTTGATTAGAAATCAAGAACATTGTCTATGGAGAGCCATGGTTGGATGTGAAACAGATAGTTTAACAATAACGTAAGTTAAGAATGCGCTCATTGACCAGTTATAGTACAGCCTGACCGAAACTAAGGCCCTGGAAATGTCACATTGACCCTAAATAAAATTTCTATTATGGTTTTTGTTTCCTTTATGAGGTTAACATCTTCTAAGTTTTTCTCCCATGAAAGCAATAACAGTGTTCAGTAATGACTTGATGACATGGTAAAAGCAAATCAATAAATTAGTCAATTCCACTAAAATTGAGGATGAAAAAGCAAAGTTTAATTGTGTAAACACTTGTTTTATTATACCCCATCCCAGGGTCACAGAATGTTTTTACAGTTAAGCAGGGTATTAATCTGTGTGCTAGCTGTGCTAGCTCCAAAACATGACCTCTGAGTTCAGCTGTTTTTCGGAGTCTTCTAGCTTTACAGTGTTCTCCCCCCCCCCGCCTCTTTCTGCAGGTCATTTATATGGGGGTGGTCCTGTATGCTCCAGCCTTGGCACTCAATGCAGGTATTTGCTGCACCCCAACAGGGGCCCCCAGTTACTATTGGCTGTGAATAGCACAATAGCACATGTTGTAGTTCTATAACGTTCACCTGGACGGTGTTTGGTAATGCTCTCACTCTGTTTATGCGCAGTGACAGGTTTTGACCTATGGGGGGCAGTGCTGGCCATGGGATTGGTGTGCACTTTATATACTGCTCTGGTGAGTCCCTAAATGTTTCCCCATCAATGACAACTGTGACAAAATATGTGACATCTAAACAACTAAATGAAGATTAACCATTTCAAACATACCCTAATATATTTATTTTATATTTTACCAAAGTAAAATATTAGATACACTACAGTACTTTTCATCAGTTCCTCTTAGCTCAGATTTTCTTTTTTTTATGTCAGAGCTCTGATCCATGCACACCTTTACAGATTTTAATGTGGATCATTATGAAACTTAAAGTCAACCCACCATTTTTGTGTCCTAGGGGGGTCTGAAAGCAGTGATCTGGACCGACGTGTTCCAGACAGTGGTTATGTTTGCGGGACAGCTAGCGGTCATCGTGGTGGGGGCCAATCAGGCAGGGGGCATAGCAGAGGTGTGGAGGAAAGCAGTCAATGGCAGCCGCATATCTGGACTAGAGTGAGTAGTCCACATACTGTATCAGTGCAGAATAATGAAGTATTCCTTGTTACCAAAGGATTGGATTCACATGTTCTCTCTCTGCCTGTGTAGCCTGAACCCAGACCCTCTGGAGCGTCACACTTTCTGGACTCTGGGTGTGGGAGGAGTCTTCCTGATGTTGGCTCTGTACGGGGTCAACCAGGCCCAGGTCCAGAGATACCTCAGTTCTCGCACGGAGAAAGAGGCCATCATGTGAGTACCACCAATGTCTCACAACATGGTTGGCTCACCCTTGCTATTTAACTCAAATTAAAATAACTCAATGTAGAGACTGTTGTGTTTTTGATTATAGAGTATACCATATTAAGTGAAAAACACTCTCCAGACACGTATTGAAACATTCATACAAATAGGCATAAAAAAGCATCTCCTCCTTTTACCTCATTAAAAATTCCAGAATCTATGAATATGCAAATCATCATGCTGGACCAGCAGTGACTTCCAAACTATTTGTGATGTCACAAATCCTGCTGGTAGGCCCCGCCCCTTAAAATCAGCTTTTCAATGAGCACAGAGAA